GGTTGTTGTTATTTTATTTTGTTGTTTTTGGGTATGGTGGCGGTGGTATAAGTAATGTGTTATGTATATATATATAAGAAGATGTAAGGAGGTTAAATTTATAAGTTTATAATTAAAATGTGATTGTTGACAAGTCAAAGGGCATTTAGATCATTTTCTCGTGTCCGGTGCTCAGGAGGGGGTGTTTTTGCAAACGTTTCAAAGCTCCGTGGCAGTCAAAGTCCAAAAAATCATTGACCGATATTTGAGTGAAATTAATCAAAATGTCAGAAAAGTCCCTGACATGTCTGGGAGTGTAAGTGCAATTTACCGTTAAAAATAGTCAACTGTTTCTCTCATATCCTCTTTTTAATTGCCCGTATAATTAAAGGGAGGTGGAGTGCAACTAGTGTTCAACCTTGGTGAAAGCATAATATATGGTGAATTAGTGATTGCTTGAATTTTTATTTTAAAAAAAAAATAATAATAAATAGACTGGCAAACATATTTAAATTTACTGTTCTATATGCTAGTTAAATGAGAGTGACTAGCCATCATTTCTAGATATTTATTTATTTATTTTGATAGGTTAATTGGTCAGTTATTTTTATTTATTTTTTTATTTATTTCTGATTTTGATTTTGTTTGTTTAATGTCTTCCCCAAAATAAATAAACCACATATGATAATGCATGATTATTGAAAGTAAAATTTTAATCATTACACAAGTAATAACAACTCCGAATAATTTATATGAATGAAAACTAACATCATTACAATGTCATTAATATCCCTAATGTTATAGTCTCACATAAAATCACATAAAATTAATCAGTTCAATTATCATATTCCCTATCATCTGAATCTATGGTGACCTTTACAATTAATTTAGGAATTTTTTTTTTTTTTGCTTTTTTTAATATATTTTTTAAAAAAGGACTTTTGGGCCCCCTTTTAAACATTTTGCTAAAACTTTGTAAATCTGATTACCGTGTGTAAAATGAGGCCCAATAGCCACTTTTATATATAGTTAACCTACATTCTTTGATCGACTCCGTACCGCTTTTCTTTTTGTAAGAAAATAAATCAGACAACCATATATAATTGCTGAAGGACAAGCTATATATCTTGTTCAGGAATGGAGTTAGAAATTTTGAATAAGATGGAATTAATATAACTGAGCACTTTTTAGAGGAATGGCCATTATAATTTCTCTCCTTTCTCCTGGTCATTTGAGTATGTGTGAGTATGTATCTAACAATAAAAAAATAAATAGCAAATTAAAAAAAAAAAAATCTTTAAATTATTAAATGTTCAAAATAGACCATGTCAATCAAAATTTATTCGCGCACCCATTTTTACTTTGAAGGAAAGAGACGATACTACTAAATTAAAAGTTTTTTTTGGTGTCAATCAAAACTATTGTCTTACAATAAAGCATGGGCATACAAATATCCATAATACATCTATATATATGCATATATGTGTGTTTGGGATAGGGATGTCAGTGGTAGAGATTCGGGACGAGCAGCTCATTCCAAATCGATCACACAAATAATTTGTTTTTTACCTAAATCCATTGCCCGCATCATTGCTAGGTTGGGTTCGAGGCACCTTGATATATATAAGTATATATAAGAACGGATCTATGTTGGCCTGAGGGGAATTGCCTCCCCTGATTTATTATTATTTTTTATTTATTATTATGCCCTATATTGTTTTTGTCATTCTGATATATATATTAATAAAATATTACCTTTGTCCTCCTAAAATTATTTTAAAAATCCAGTGTTACCTTCCTCCCTTGAGTATTTGGGTCCGTCCTATATATATATATGTATATGAGGGACTGATGCTTATTTTATGAGTTTACATTTATTATTATTTTTTTATCCCAATAATATGTTAGAAGCTAGATGGGAGGGCAGAATAGGATAGAATACGGCTAGTCAAACCACAGAGGAGAAATCATCTACTGTTATGAATTTACTTGAGATGTAGAAAGGGTTGTCATTGGTATAGGGATATCAATTTAGTCAGCCCAGTCTTGGTTTTTTAGGAGAGTGTTTGGGTTCGTCCTATATATATATATATATAAATATATGCGAGGGACTGATGCTTATTTTATGAATTTACATTTATTATTATTTTTTTTATCCCGACAATGTGTTAGAAGCCAGATGGGATGGCAGAATAGGATTGAATACGGCTCGTCAAACCACAGAGGAGAAACCATCTACTGTTATGAATTTACTTGAGATGTAGAAAGGGTTGTCACTGGTATAGGGACATCAATAAACTTGAACAAAAGTTAAAAAGTTAAAAAGTTAAAAATTATCATAAAAACCAAGATCGGGCTGACTAAATTGATGTCCATATACCAATGACAACCCTTTATACATTTTAAACTTGAACAAAAGTAAAAAAGTTAAAAATTATCATAAAAACCAAAACCCGGCTGACTAAATTGATGTCCCTGTACCAGTGGCAACCCTTTCTACATCTCAAGTAAATTCATAACAGTAGATGGTTTCTCCTCTGTGGTTTGACGAGTCGTATTCGATCCTATTCTGCCCTCCCATCTGGCTTCTAACACATTGTTAGGATAAAAAAATAATAATAAATGTAAATTCATAAAATAAGCATCAGTCCCTCATTCTAAGTACAATTACTTAATTTCATGGTGCATGTGAATAAAAACTACATACATTTATTAGTGGACGATGAGGTATTGTATGCACCTAATTAACGTACAAAAGGAGCAAAAAAAAAAGGGCAAAGTTTCAAAAAACACTTTCACTCGTTTTTCACTAAACCCCTCTTGACTATTTTTATTCTAAAAAACTCCTCTCAACTATCAGAAGAGGATAACAGATTCAAAAAGGATATTAACTAAGGATGCAAAATGACTAAAGTATCCCTTATACCTGTTATATATGTATTATCCCCATTAAATTTCCTATTTCTGTCAGCCTCCGAAAAAAAAAAAAAAAATCCTGTTGTTGTAAAAATAAATAAACACACAGAATAACATAAAAACACCAGAAATCCATCACCATAAAAACCAAAATAGAAATTTTGTGTACCTTCAAACAAATAAAATTAAAATGGTTGTTGGTAAAGAAAAGGAAAACCCATTATAATAAAATGTTTGATCTAATATTAATAGCTTCTGGTAGCTAAGTTTCAAGTTGATAGTCTCCAAACCTTTGCAACAATCACAAACACCCAACACAACTTAGTACCAAAAAAAAAAAAAAAAAAAACACACACACACACACACAACTTAGAACACAAAAATCAAAACCCATTATCAGGAAGACCAATCGGTGGTGTTTAAAGCAATTAAATAGAACAAAATTACAATTATAATACAATTCATTTAACAAGCTTATATAGATTCATATTGAATACGAAATTAAAAAATAGTTATATGGGTGTGATTTGCTCACATTGGTTTGGTTTTCACAATAATGTATGATTGAAAGGCGCTTATCACAAAGCAACTTCAAATATCAGTCTACAATACCAGATTTGGGATTCGAAAATTAATTTAAACATCAGTATAAACATAAAATAAAATAAAATAAAATAAAAAGGGTATTATATCTCTCTCCCAAAAACAACCACTAATGAGTAAATAGGTATTCATCTGCAAAAGGATAAGTACTGCTACTTGCCTGATGATCAAATGAAGGAACAACAAAAAAATAACTCATGGAAAAATTGAAGAGTTGCTTTAGACTCGGTTAGTGATTATTATTATTATTTTTCCTTGGATCCTATATACGAGAAAAATCAATTCATTATTGTGAATTCTAGTCTCTCCATTGAATCTTTGCAAAGCGGATGATGGCAATTCACAAATTTTGTCTAAGGGATACTCTAGTCATTTTGTATTCTTAATTAACGTCTCTTATGAATCTGTTACCCTCTAATATAGTTGAGGGGGTTTTTTTGGAATAAAAATAGTCAAGGGATTTAGATAAAAAGGATGGAAGTCAGAGGGGTTTTTTTTTGGACTTTGGCCTAAAAAAAATTATTATTATTTTAGACCGACATGTATAGTTTATTAGCGGATTAAAAAGTATTGTATCTTTAACATGTAACATTGTTTAGAAGACTTCCCAAAAGAACATTGTTTAAAAGATTAAGACAATCTGGTAATGTTTCCTAACATATCATACTATATCTTAGTCGTGAGTCTTGATTCTTCATTTTTCTCAACTATATAGTAAATCTACCGGATCTGATATATTTATTTATATTAGTTAGATATACATTAAAAATATGCATGACCTTGCAATTATGAATATTATATTATTATATATATACACATACACACACCCTCCTCTAACATTTAAATTTACAATATATATATATATATATATATATATATATATATATATATATACTGTATTATTTACTTAACCGAGAAAGAAAAAAAAAATATATATATATATATTATTTTCCTGTATTAAACAAACTTTGTATATCTATTTACAGGGAAAAAAAGCTTTAGATGACAGGAACAGGAAGGAGAGAAACTTTCATAACTGGAAATGATAGTGATCGAAGAACGAGATAGAGTAAGACTTCGATTGTAAATGTTTTATGCAGACAATAGAGAGAGCGGAGGTTAGAGAGAATATATTACTGCCTTTAGCCAAAATGCAATATTTTAATTTTTCTTGACGGTTATGCAAGTATATATATATATATTGATATGTATAAATTCATAGAGGCCCATTAATTGGGAAAGGCCCGACGAACAAAAACAGAGCAATCAACAGCCTGATACAAGATGGGAATAAAACGCAGTGGCAAAATTTATTGCAAATTTGTCGGAGAAACCTCAAAATAAATTATTGGAAAAACTAGTTTATACAATTGATTGAAAGTTACTGCTAATAATATGAAGGATCATGGGTACAATTGGTGTACAACTAATTATTTCAGCTTCAAGATATATAAATCCATCCTCATCTTTCTCTCTCTCTCTATATATAAGGTAAATTAAATAAAAATTAGCTACCTACCATACCCTATACATACATATATATATGTGTGTGTGTGTGTGTGTGTGTGTATTTGGGTAAGGAAATTAGCTTGCTAACTAGGTAGCGTACCTTGTTAAGAGAGCTCTTTCAATGCAAGGGGAGTCTTTCCACACATGAGAGTGTGTTCTGAGGATTTCTTTTGCTTTATCTTTCAAATATGAGGCACAGTCTACTTGGAACACCATGAATAGCTTTGCAACTGTCCCAACCTTCAACATCTCCTGAAGTACCATATTTGTTCCTGAAAACCTACATATCAGCGAAATAATCAACATGGCCCGATCGTCGGCTGCCGGAGAAACCTTCAGAATCCTCTTCGTGACCAGCGCAATGCCACCTGCGTGACTCAAGAATTGTGCTCTGCCATCAGCACATGAACATAGATGAAACAGTATTCCGAATATGAGCTCAGTGGTTCTCTTCTCCGGTGCTCCCATTTCGAGCTCGATAAGCTCAAAAATGGCCCCGGCTTCAACCATCATCATTCGGTTTCTTCCCCACGGACAAGCCTCTAACATGACATTCAAAGCTGCATTAATTCCTTGTTGAGAGACCATGCCTTGTTTTATTACACGGACAATCCGATCAAAGAATTCAGGTTTCAATCTTTGTAGTACTTTTGTGTTTGCCTTTTCCGTTATGGTTTTCAATAGCAACAATGCATGGATTTTTATGGACGTGACATGATCATCATTAATATTATCGATGTCAGGTAGCCCTAAAACCCATGTTAAGGAATCAACAATTTGGTCATTTTGGATCAAAAGTAGCTTTGTTTGGGGTGTTGAATTTCTAACATGATAGAGAATACTTAGAGCTTCTTGGAGACCAGTGATTTGGGCTTTTCTGTAACATGTTACTATGAGTGAGAGCACAGCCTTAGTGAGACCAGCTTCCACCATGCACTTTCTATTTCTTTCGTTCTGATCAACCGCCAAAACTTCCAATTTTCTAAGGGCTTGTAGTTGCAGCTTTGGAAGCCAAAGATCCCTGATGAGGTTGAGGACATAACACTTGTTGAGAAGAGGTTTCGGGTTGGGGATTGGATCGGTACCGTTCTGGATGCACCATGCTTGGATCAAGCGGCGGAGAGTGTGGTTGGGGATCAAGTCCGATTCGGTTGGCAAGGGCTGTTTGGTGACCGGACAAGTGGTGTTCTGGCCCTTAAATAGCCAATGTTCGATGCTTTCTCGATCATACGTGATGCCCGTAATGGCAATCACCGGATCTTTCATGATTTGAAGAGATATGGGACAGATGAAGAACTCAGGAACTTCAACATCGATATCTTCCATGAATATATAATACGTACTATACCTATATATGTGCTACACACACAAAGATAGAAAATTAAGTTATATATAGAATAATTAAGTAACCAATGTGGAGAGTATAAGATGGATGGATAGCTGAATATGAAGATTATTAAGGTATCAAGTGTGGAAGGTGGGCAAGAAAGTATTAGTTTCAGTGGTAAGAGATTGCGGCTGCTGATTTATTAACATGCTTGTTGAAGAGAGTAGAAAATTCTACGATGAATTTTATTGGTCTTCTCTTATTGGTCAGATACTCTCACGGCCATTCGTTGGTCAAACCAAGAAAGTTGATGCTGGCCAAATCAATTGTATATATAATAAATGATGGTCTACTCACGTTCGTACATTTCATCTCTATTTTCCTAATATATAAGGATTATATATACTGTATAATAGTATACGCACACTATATTATAATGTATATATGTTCCACTGATTTAACAGTTTACTACTTCGAAGACCAATAATGAAGATAATACCTTTTCCAAGTTGTATGTAAAGATCAACAATTAAGTTCGATTTTAAATTGTAAACGTTTTCGAGTTGTATATATATGTTAAGATTACTTTTTATTTTTTATTTTATTTTTTTATTTTTATGGAAACAGTTAAGCTTGATTTAAAGTTGTATACAATTATCGGACCCACTCTTTAACGATAATATGAGAGAGAGACTATTAAGCAAACATGTGACCGTGCGTGCTATTGGCTTGACGGTATGAGATATGCAAGCCAGTCTTTTAAAATCCTTAATAGAAAAAGAGACCACATATTTTAATTTATTAACTTTCTTTTATGTAAATTTCAAGCACAATTATATCACTTTCTATTAAGTTATATTAAAAGATAAGTTCTATACTATCTTGAGCTTATTGTAATTTTTTATTTAATATTATTTTTTAGCATGAGCTTAATTATTGTAAATTAAGTAAACAGAATAATTTTTAAAAATAAAAAATATTAGTATTGCATTAATATAATCAATATAAGAAGACCTAATGTATTGTTTTCGTTTTTAAATCTTGAATTGATTCAAGCGGTTCCGCTATTGTCTAAGTTAGGACATGTTAGAGTTGCAACTCCCTGATAAGCATTTGTGGGAGAATTTGTCTAACAAATATTATATATATATATATATATATATATATATATATATATATATATATATATATTTCTCCTTATATTGTTGAATTCCAATCACTTTACTTTCACATTAATAATGGAAAACCCTTTTCAATTTGGAAAGGAATTTTCCTTTTTTGAATGGGTAACATGCGTATTCATATATGCATTAATGGGGTGAGGAGCAACGTGTTTTTATCAATATGATTGAAATGAATAGATGAAGTGAACCGAACTAACAAGCTGAACAAACCACTTAATCGACATTTTGAGTCCAAATAATTATGTAACTTAGATGAATGTGAAATCAAACCTGATAATATTTTTCAAATTCGAGCTAGGAAAATTCATTTATTTAATCAATTTAAAGTCATGACCCAAGTATAAAATTGGATTTAAGCACAAATTATTCAAGCTTGCTGTCAATAGGGAGGAATAAAAAAAAAATATTGCCTTATTAAATAAGTGATATTCATGATTTTTAATGTGATAAGTACAAACATTTGTTTGGTTACTTGAGCTGAATTAGTTTATTTAATAAGTGTTTTAAAAAATTCGAGTACTCAACTCCTTTACTTAACAAATAAATTTAAATCGCATGAAAGCTCAGTTAATTTTTAGTCAATTCCTTCCCTGAGCCTACTAAAAACATTAGACAAAATGTCCAGAGCTCAAATCTCGTTCTCTAAAAAACCAAAAAACATATATAAAAAAAAAAGATTGAGTTAACCAAATTACCTGAAGACTAATGTACGTAGTAATTATGTGTCATTGTGTGTGTGTGTGTGTGTGTGTGTGTGATGCCATATAGTTGTTGCGGGGATGGTCCCAAGGTGTGAGATGTAGACGCAAGGGGTTTGGATAAGCCACAAGACTGCAAGGCGTGACCCATGCTTCAATCAGTGGAAATTTCGGCGTCCAAAAGCCCAGTCAACGCTCCAGTTGACTCTTTGTACTCCATTCCAATCTTCATGACTTGTTTATGTGGGAATGCTGAAAAAATATTAATTTAAAAAAAAATCATTTCATTAAAATGCTATGAAATGATGGACAAATATTGAGACAGACACATGTCTAACAGTTTTATAAAATAAAAATACAAATTGTATGAAAATTATACATTTAAAACTTCATATCAAATTTCAGTTGCAAGTAGATTACACAAATTAATCAAATTTTTATATGCACTTTTCTTAACTTGACCAACTTAAATTGTCATCTTTGACAACATTGCTTAATTCTTATTTAAAGTATTTTTAGTTAATTTTCTTATAATGAGATCAACTAATTAATTTAATTGAGTAGCATGATTACGTAAATTCTGGACTATTATTTGTGCTCAAAATATGCCATTCAAAGGAGAGGTTATGACAATTGGACCTCATGTAGCCCTTACTCTATTGAAATATAAAGGGTACGTAAAATTGTTAGGAGGTCTTTTTAGTTTTTATTCATCAACGATAGAAATTATTTCAAAAATTGTGAAGGTAATGGCAAAAAGGAAAATGCTTTGATGAGCTGCATATCAACAGACTTAATTTAAGTTTTCTGTTTTTTTGTCGATATTTATTCATACTCGAAATTTTGTATCCATATCTATGTACAGTAGGATCAGTCAACATTTTATGTTCTCTTTCATTTGGTTTAATTTTATAAAATTAAACTAACCTCTTTTACTATTTTATATTATTTATTTTGAGGCATTTCCACTTGATTTTTTCCACAACACCACCATTTTAGAAACTCTCATATTTTAAAATATAAACCAACTAAAAAAAATTCCACATTTCTTGCTCAATTTTTTTTAAAAGTCTTATTTTAAAATATAAATCAAATAAACATTTCTTCAAAATTAATACAATTGCACCTTATTAACCAACTACACACATTCTTCTAACAATAATGATAATTTAAAATGGGATGGGGATGGGTCAACCTTCTCCCATGCCCCTCAACGAGGTTTTCACTGTAAAAGAAGTGAACTATTATTAGAGTTGTTTTATATCGGATTTGAATGAGAATTAAAATGAGTATAAGTTGGTGTGTTTGTAGCACTTCCTATAACTTAAACTTTTGGATTAGCAGGTAAGTGTTCACTTGTTACTTTAGTATCAAAATCAAATCTAATTCTTAATTTGGTGTCACACCAAATCCCATCTTCTTCTTAGATGTGCACTTCCAGCCCCCCATATAAGGGTTGTAACTAGTTATAAGATTTTTATGACCAATACCTTGATTTAGTAGGTAAAATGTAAATCTTGTTTATTTTTACCTTTCTAAAATGCTTTATTGCTTCTTCTTAGATGTGCAGTTAATTTCTTTTGTTCACTTATGTATTTTGCACCTCAGTTCATTATCAAGAATAACAACCGCATTCGAATATTTGGGCATTTGAATACACCATATTAGAGTTGATTACGGGGTAAAATTTGCACTTTCTTTGTGTTAGCCATCATTCTGGTTGTTTATGGCTGACACTATTTGTAACTTAATTTGAAACACCTTCTTTGAAGGGGTCAAGATTGTCATTCTAAATAGGCAGGGTGATCCAACCGCAACGAGAGAGTTGTGAGGGCGTTATGAGTTCGGATAGGGGAGAATATTATAATTGTCTTACATCGGATCTGAATAAAAATAACAAATTAGTATAAATGAGTGGATATGCAGCACTACCTACTAACTTAAACTTTTGAATCAGTAGGCAAACGCACATCCGTTACAACTATCTTGCCATCCTACTCATCATATCTTTTTTTAATTCTTTGAAATTCTTGTTAATTATTTGATCGCGGAGGAAAATTAAAAGAAAAGGCACAATAGTGATGCAACAGCTTTCATATTCTAAAAAATATTGGTCAATTTTGTTTTAAAGGAAAGGCAAGGCATCTTTCATATTCTCAGTCAACTGTTTCTTTCAAATTTGAAAATGCGCTTCATCATTATGTGGCCCAATATGTCGGCTGTATTTCAAGAAAATTCTCAATTAGCTTCAGTCCTACTGTCATACCATGTTCTCCTTTCTTTGTTTTTGTAATTTATTTCTTGTTTTCTTTTATTTTCACAAGGCATATATATATATATATAGAGAGAGAGAGAGAGAGAGAGATTGGTGTTCCTGCTGCTTCTTCGTACTTTCTCCAGTCTATATTGATATTTAAGACTTTCAAATACATTTTATTTCGACAACTGTTTTTTTTCCTTAAATAAATCATATAGGCAGACACTCTAGCCATGAGCCAAATCTTCAATGGAAGAAAGAGCATATGGCACAAAATTTCTTATGGGATTCTTTTCTTGGTATTTCTTTTCCTTTCTATTCAACGATCCTTCCATAATTGTTCTTTCCAAACCGGGTAAAAGAAGAAGAAGGGTAGTAATCATGATCATGATGTTCAAAATCATCAAAATAGGGTTACAGAGAAGACTTTGGATTGTGGAATTAATTGTGGAGAATGTAAAGTGAAATGAATGCTGAAATTGTAGGAAATTTACATCGTGTCTTCTTCTAGTTCTAGAAGACAAGTCATTGAAAAATTGGAGCAGTCTGCGACATGATTGATAGAAACATGAATTAAAAGTGTTATACATGTGTGTGTGTGTGTGTGTGTGTGTGTATATACACACATATATATAGTTGTTAGTCCAAAGTCTATCGTCATTATTATTATTTTTTCCTTGAATTACAGTGAATTGATGGGCCCGTGTAAAGTCAATCAAACCTCAAGGGAGGTTGAGCGTATACATGTTTGGCCACAACCCTATATCTACTACTAACCCAATTAGTCTGAGACTGAGTATGGGTGGTTCCAGGCTTTGCCTCAGTTTTGTGGCACTACTCCAGCTAAACTAGTGGTGGTCTTCAAGCCATAAACCAAGTGCCCCAAACCCTAACTCGCTTCAAAATGCAGATTTGCATTTTTTAATTATTAACTTTCTGACTTTTTCTATCAACAAGAACAAGAAGAATGATTTACCCAAAAAGATAAAAATAAAAATTACCCAAGACTGATTTTTTATTTTTTTCTAAGTCAGGAAACAAAAAGTGGAGAGAAATATGGCAATTTGTGTACCACGTTTTTTAAAGTCCAATACTTTGAACAGAAATAACGGGTTCTAGAGTATACCATAATAAAGTGCTTGAAATAGTATAGCTATTGTGTACCTAAACTTATTAGTATATACGACTGACTACAAGTAAAGAAATGTTGATCGAGGATAGAATGCCAAAACTACCCTCACATGCATTCTAATTACTAAAATAACCTTACAGATCAAATAAAATCACTCCTCAACCATTCATATTTGGAGTGCTTGGACCAACCTACCCCTACCAATCAAATATAATATATTTTTTATATTATTCTCTCTCATTTCTCTTTGTAATTTATCCTAAATAAAAACATATAGGAAACTTTCTGCATATAAGGATCGTGATTTCTCTTCCCTCAAGCTCCCCCATCCTTCGTGGTAAACCCTTATTTAAAACTAATTTTTTTCTCTTTCTACATTTACATGTATACAAATAAAACCCACCGAACCTGTAAAGCCCAACTACATCCGTTGTTGGAGATGATTTCTTTGCCGGAACCAAAACCGACTTGGCCCATCAGTGACGTTTTTCGCTAGAGTTTGACCGCTAACCAATCGCTTGATTACAAGCACGTTTCACTGTGTGAGCTATAAGAACATCTGAACCTGTCTCTCCGAATTTTGGCTTTTCAAAAGAGTCACTTTAACTTTTACAAGAGTCATGTTAGCAATTTCAAGAGTCAACAGTTTTCGTTCTCCAGAAATAGGCAGTCTATCAGTCTCTCCGAATTTTTGCTCAAAAAAAAAAAAAAAAAAGTTAAATTATTTTTTTTTAACTTTTCCCCAAGTGCTATATATTTCATCTTATATAATTAACACTCAATATATGGATTAAAAAAGATATAATTAATTAAAATTTAAATAAAAAATAGTTTTTAAAAAATAAAATTTTAAGGGAAAAAAAAAAGTTTCTTTTATTTAATTTTGGCCCAAATCAAAAATTTTTTTGAACAAATAGTGCTTAAACAATATATTTTTTATTTAATGAATTTATTTTTAATAAAATGTGCTCAAAGTATCTTAAGGCACTGTTCCTGATAGTTGGAGCCAAAACTTTACAAATGATGGCATTTTGGCAAAAAAAAAAAAAAAAACGACGATCGCGATCTGGCTCGAGGTACTCCGTGAGCCAGCCCGCGAGCAAATGTGGGCCCGCTCACTTAGCGCCAAGCCCTGCGGCACGTTTGGACTTTTTAATCGTTGAAAGGGCCTTGGCTAGGCCGGTGCAGGTGCGCTAAATAGTTAGAACCGAATCACCAAAACCTAGAAGTCATACAATTATTCAATAACCAAATCACATCAATATGTACCTAGATTTAGTGGTAAATGTATCGATCTCTGAAATATTTTGTCACGAACTAGGATGGAGTAATGAGAGGAATTGAAGGAGAGTGGAAGTTGCGATTCGCATGAGATTGTTGATCTTTATCTTCTGCACCCAATTTTTTGGTTCTTTTTTGCTCTCATCCCAAATTCTATCTTTAAATTTTTGTTCTTTTAAATGCATTTGAAGAGGTTTGAATGTGTTACTAGGAACGAATTTGAAGGTGATTTGGTTTTTGCTTGGTTAGTTTGTTAAGTGTTTCATTATAGAGTGAGAAGAGAAATGGATCTTGGGGAAGTGATTAGGATGTCTCAGATGGTGGTGTTAAATCAGGGTATTTTGGTCATTTGAATTTTTTTTTTTCTTTTCTTTTTTATTATATCAGCAATGCGCATTGTGCAACTAAAAGGTGGATGTATTATTAGCAATTAACCACCTGTAAGTTGGGGCCACTTTAGCAAATGCATACAAAATGTTAATTACAAGTGGATTGACAGGGAGGTTAGAGTATTTGATCAAAGAAGAATTATGCCAAATTTTTATGGTGCAGTCGGTTTCATGGAGTTGAAATTTTGAAATCAAAATTTGTAAATTTTAGGAAAATTTTGGTTCAAATTTCTTAATTATTTTTCTCGAATTACACCAAATTCAATTCCATGCAATCAACCCACACTTACACTATGTTTGACAGACATGGAATTGGAGAATTGAAATTGATGAAATTGGAGAAAAGCAACTCAAACAATTGAACTAAAATTGTCTCTTATTCCACTAATTTCAATTTCAAGACTTCAATTATATACCGCCAAACACAACTTTAGAGTAATTTATCTTAAAAAAACTTATATATAAAAAACAAAATTTAATACAAGAGTAATTATGCCAAACCTCAACCGAGGTTCTAAAAAATATATAGGAAACGATAATGAAAATGAATGGGAGGTTGCTGCGGCTGATTCTTTACATTTCTGATTTCTCAAATGTACGATTCTTGCACCCTCTAATTCCACAATACTTTTTCTCACTCAAATTTTATACATCAAGATCTTCACAACAAGTCAATGATTTCCCATTTCTCAAACTTTCCCCTTTCTTCAACTTTGGAGCTACTTAAGAATGTGTTGGGTTGGTTTTGCTGTGGTAGTGTTTTGTGTATGGTTGTTCTGTTTCTTTGTAGGTGCCGTTAGGCTTGCTTTTGCAAGGAAAAAAAAAAAAAAAAAAACTCCCCTTTCTTCAGCTTTGGAACTACTCATTATTCTTCGGGAAGGGATTGATTCTTAAGTAGCCGTGGATCATAGGTTTGATCTTTTGTGTAAGTCAGCAGCCTTTTCAATTTCATGGACTTGTACAAATGCATTACTTAATTGTTTTTCTACTCTTATTTGTTAATAATGCATAATATACATAAAAGGAATTCCCTTTTTTTTTTTTTTTTTTTTTTGGCAAATCATAAAAGGAATTCACATAAGCAACATGTTCACCTCAATTAATCTCAACTAGAATTGGAGGACCCTCATGTTAATGCAATTGTGACAATAGACGCAAAAATTGTCAACTTTGAAAAGTCAAAGAAAAAAGGCAACACACTCAATGAAATAAATCAAAATAATACAAAGATCGATGTTTCAATGTAGATCTTTATTAGTGGTAGAATTGAGGTATGGCTCACATTGCTTACTCTACTCCCCACGATTCGTTTCCTTGTGCAATTTTTCCATACAAGGCTCCTTCTATACAGGACTTCTATATACGAGACTCCTTCCATATAAGTCTCCTTTAATTGTGTGATTGATGGATCATTATTTGTACTAGGCCATGTGTTGGGCCGGAGATGCAGGTTTGACTTGCCTTATAATTGGGCTGAGAGACAATGGATGACTCCTTTGGGCTTATCAAGTTGGGTGACCCAAGAGAAGTAGTGGAAAACCCATCTGCTGACGTGGTTGATTGTAATTGGTGGGGAGATATTTCCCTCCAGAGTGACCAAAGTTGGCAAATAAAGAGAAATTTTCATGGTTTGGTTTGTCAAGAGCGAACTTAATATTGTATCAGGCATGGACATTTCATTTAAGAGCAATAATCAATTCTATACCCCCAAAATATATTACTAATGCAGAAGTTACAAAAATAATATACAATCCTATAAACTTTACTTCTACAAGAACTCGAAGCAAAGTATAGGCCTATACTAATTAAGTAAATTTTCTTCTTTCTACACTACCATGCTAATAGACAGATTTATAAGGAAATAGAGAGACGGACCATCAGACACCTTAAAGGTACCTCTTTTTTCGTCTTGCCTCTTTCTTCACCAATACTTGCCTCTTTTAATTATAAGGCCACAAAGTCTGGCAACAACTGTGCTGCTGCAAACCTCTTGCGGTTCTGAATATTGATGCTTTCATAAATGGCTGTGGAGTGAGAAGAAGTGGGAGAGTTTATAGTGCCAAACTCATTCGGTTCACGAATTTCTTCACCTCTCCCCAATTGGATGTTTTGGTTAGGGAGATAACTTTGATGGGTACCTGACATGGAGAGGTTATCGCAATGTGGGAGACCAAGACTCAGAGAAACAGCATTGCCCGAGTAGGCTGAGGGGAGTCGGTCCGCACTAAACCTTGTCATTTCCCCAATCTGGTATGACCCAAATCCTCCAATTAAGTTTGTAGGGGCTCCCATTAAACTAAAACTCTCTCTGCTCTGCCTCTCATTGCCAAATTTCATGGACACCTGATCATCCATTGATGAACCACTATTTTGGGGGGACTGCAACATTTCAATGTTCCTATGTCTTTTTGGACTTGCTTGTGCAATGCCTTGTTCCATTTCTGATGCTCCAATGAGTGGCAGTCGACCAGTCTGGTTTCGGATATTTACTCCAGTGGGAGATGATGTTGAGGCTGTAGAAATGGAAATTGACGAAACATTATTAGTCTTCTTGTTTTTGGCATTGTCTTGTTTGGACATGAAACTCTTATTCTGATTTTCAATCTCTTGGAAAGCAATGGAGTTTAATGCTGAATCTCCGTTGGCTTCACTTTTGCTTGTTTTGTCCTCTGATCCATTCTGCTGCTCTTCTTGTACCTTCACTTCCTCCGTGTACATTTCTTCTACCATTGGCTTCCACAACCTAACTCTAGCATTTATGAACCAATTTGACACCTGCAATGCATGCATAATTACCACAAATTAACAACCATTTTCAACGCAAGTCGTGGATGAAGCCAACAAATTGTTAAAATATTATATATATATATATATATTCCGCACCTGACTTCTTGTAAGTCCTGTTTGTTTCGCGAGCAAGAGTTTGTCCGAATCCTTGGGATAACTAAAAACCAGTTGCGGGGAAATTTAATTAATTAACAAAACAAAGATAGAGAACAACTAAATTGTGCATTTAAAGAAATTTCAAAAGAGTAGTTGACATTGGTTTTGATAATGCATGCTTACGGGTGGAGGAAGTGTTCGAAGAGCCAAGCACGAAGAACAGAAACGGATCGCTCAGGCAATCCTCTCTGGGGTCTCCAGGCATTATGCTGGATCATTCCCAACTGTTGTAGAGCTCTTTGTTGCCGGAGCTGATGATCCACGAATTTAAGTCTTGAACCCTCAATCTTCCCACCTCCAAAACAATCCTCTTCCCCTAAGCACTTGCTCACAGCTCGAATTTGGCTTGTTATCGAGTCTTTGAGGCACCGGAATTGCTTTGAGATAGTTTTTAGTGCCAGAGCTGTGTATGTTTTTCCAGATCCAATTCCAGATACTTGCTCAAACCAAGTTATTACAATATGCATTTGATGGTGGTACTGTCTGTATCTTTGCTCCACCTTCAAATCCCATAAATGACAAAGACTCAAATTAGACGTTGTAACAAGTTCAACATACAAAATCAATTATTACTAATCACTAAATCTGCATTCACAGCAAAACTGTTGAAGAAAACAGGATTCTAATTATTCAGCCTACTAATACTGAAATTTTAATGCATGTATAGACTTCTTTAAATTGAAAAAAGAAGGAACGTACTTAAATAGAATATCCACACAAGAAAATTATGTTGAAAATCAAAATGTTGTATAAATGTGAACTTTAAATAACCTTACTAATAAGCATTACACTTGTAACTTCAATCTATTTGAAGAGCGATGAATAGAACAATATTTGGCTGAAATTGTGATCCAATACCTCTCAATTCATAGTATTTGAAACATATATATATCTGATCCAACTTAATAGATAGAGAACCAACTCAAATTAGTTCACATGCCCCTTAGCCTAAATTCACCTTAAAACACAACACTTTATTGGAAACAAAACTCAACCGTTTCTTATAAGCCTACTCTCGATCGAAATCACACCTTTTCAGCATCAGCTATGGAAAAAAAATAATAATAATTTATCAAAAACTCAACTTGATACAAACTAATTTACAAATATATGTATGTATTTATTTAGTCATACCTCATCTAGCATGTTGACAAGTTTTGCCTTCTTCATCTGAATTTCCTGTCTCTCTGCCGTGGTAAGCTCGGCACTGCCTTTTGAGTTCGTGGCTCCTCCTCCCGCAGTGGTTTCGGAGGCTGACGGTTTTCCAGTTCTCATGGTCAGCCCAGTAGCAGTCCCCTTGGCAGCTGATTCATTGTTGAGAGCCTCATCCACTCTAACAACTTCATCAAGAAGCTCTTGTGCCACCTTCAAATACTTGGAACCCAACACCCCACTCTGCGTTCCACTAGCACCATTTGAAATCCCAGATGCTGACGAACCCAATCCGTCTGAAACCCGCACATTGTTGCCGGACGTCGGTGAAATTGTGGGCAGGTTGGCCTGAGAAGGACCTTCACGTTCAGCCCTGTAAGACCCATATTGTGGTTGCTGGGAGGAGAGGCTCAAAGACAGTTCCTGCTTGGCGCGTGACACATCACGCGCCTCCGTAGTATGGTCAATTGAATTGTATAGATTGTAGTGAACACGTGGGATGAGACCGTGGAATGCTGAGAAATCGTGTTGGGTGTGGACGGATGGAGGGTGGGGACCATGGGATGAGGCTGATGCAGAAGCAGAAGAGGAAAAAGTGGCCGCTGTGAGAGGGATACCCACAAGTTGTGTGGTGTGATTGGGCGGCGCGTGAGGTAAATTAGTGAAGTTGGGCGGTGGCGGGGTTTGAGTGTCAGAGTATCCAACATAGCCAGGATTCATGAGAATCAGCGTTTGTAACCCATCAGCTTGGATATCAGAGTTTCCGTTAAAGTACGTTGCCATCAATTAGTTTCTTTGTGTATGTATGTGCCTTTTATGTCACTCAAAAGGGACTACGTTACACTGCTTCACGTCCAATAAACACACACACTCTCTCTTTCTCTAGATGATCAGTAGCACAATTAGCGGACGGGTGCTGGGAGAGAGCAAAACTAGGTGTGGTATTCAACCCATTAAAGGAATTTTGTTACTGTAATTAATAGACTTCTCAGTTAAATCCTGCAAGAAAATAAAGGGAAAATTATAAGGAAATGATATATATATATATAGCCACAAACTCATAATATTTGTTAAAAGTTCCATAATTTGGATCAATTCGAAGAAAATGGAAAAAAAAACATCCTCCTATCAATTTGTTGATTGATCTTCTAGAAAAATGGATGGCTTAGGTGGAAGAAAGGAAAAGGATGTCGAATATTATATATATATAGAGAGAGAGAGTATATATATAGAGCCAGCGGATCATAATTTTGGATATAGCTAGAGAACATATATATATATAGAGAGAAAGGATTGGAATTATACTATTAATTGAAATGATTGTTACCTTGTATGATGGAAATCTGAGTATGCACGTGCCCCGTTATCATCTGCAAAGGAAGAAGAGAATTTTAGTTGCAGGGTGGACACAACTAATATCCGTACATGACAGACATAGAAGTTCATGACCATGCAGCATGATTCTATTCATATAAGTTGAGCTATCCAAATGCATATATATATATATATATATACACACACATGCATATACCCAAATCTATGGTTTCATAAGTCTCTTCACTAATTTACCCCCCCCAAAAAAAAAAAAACGAAACAAAAGTCTCTTCAGTACTTGGGGGAAAGGATAACCCTTTAATTGTCAGACTGATCAATTCATCTCTGCAACTCTCTCCTTTGAAAAGGAAATAAGCACATAGAGAAAGAGATGGGACCATAAAGTCTAAGGAAAAGATACCCATCTTTATTCACTCATTTTCCTTTTTCTTTTTTATCACTCATTTATCACAAACAATCATGCCTTTAATCGTCAGACTGACATACACACACACACACACACACACACACACACATATATATATATATATATATATGAGATAATGAATTGTGAATTTATATCCACAAACATGCATGTTCTTTAAGTTTCTAAGATTTTAGTGTAAATCGAACGAAGTACCTGCGAAAAGATAAGAAAAATATATGCAACTTCACTGATTTGACCTTCCTTTTCAAATCAACTGATGCAGCCAGCCTCCTTTTTATTTGCTAACTCCTGCAAACAACTTTAGAGAAAGATAGATGTAGATATATGTATGTATATGTGTTTGTTGGTTTTCTGGTAATAAAATTAAAATTAAAAGGAAAAGGAAAAAAAAAATGGCATTTGATGAGGCCTGCCAGGGGAAGGGGTTTTCAATCTGTCAGAAGATAAAAAAAGCTGAAAAACGAGGAAACATCTCCATCCACTAAAACTTTCATGTATTTTAATTAATTAATTAAGATGTTAATTTAAAGAAGGAAGATGATGATGATGATGATGATGAAGAAGAGAATGATTGGAGGGTCCTATTGTTCATTACTAAAATATCTCTCTGTCTTTTCCTTTTCTTTTTTTTTCTTTTCCACTTTTCTCTTTTTGTTATTTTTTGTGGCTGCAAGCCAAAGTTTTCAAGATAAAGTAATTGAAATGCAAAATAGTACAGGGCCAACCACCTTAACAACTACCCCAAGTCTCCAAAAATTAATACTATATCATTATTGGTATATTTACATCATGCATACATGTGTATCGTTTAATAATTTATATTAGTGTGTATATACAAGGGTAGTCCAATTTTTAAATTTTTATACATAGTATGTATATAAGAACTACTAATTAATCCTTAGAATCCACTAGATTAATTTGAAAGTGAGAGAGATCAAATTTTGATTAGTGAAAAGGCTCCCCAATTCAATATTTGAACAATTATTTATAGCTAAAGAAAACCTTAAAAAATTACCTCCACCTCAAAATTAAATTACAAATAAGCCCTAAACCACAAAACTATATATAAAAAATAAATAAATAAATAAAATGAAGAAGAAGAAAAAGGAGGATAAATTCCAAATAAATCACATGAAATTGAAAAAATGCTATCAAAAGAGCCTTATTTTATATCCAAACGTTACGATACAGATTTTTTTGTAGACTTTTCAATGTATCTATACATCAAGCACATGAACATCACAACTTCCCTCAAATGGAAGTTACATAGCGAGTAATCTTGCAAGTCTTGATCATGTTGCATGGGTGAGGTCGTATCTATATTGCCTATTCACGGACATGTACATATGCATCATATATATGATTGCGAGCAGACACTTCAATATCACAACTCCCTTTTGTTTATCTTCTTTATTTTTATTTTATTGATTGGTATTTTAATTTGTGTCCATCAAGTTAGTAACAACTAACAACTAACAATGAGCCATGGCATTCCCTGAGTCTGTCATTCAATGGTACCGACTTGATTTCCAACAGAACTTTAACGTCCATTATTATATATATATATATATATCAATATATATATATAGTGTGATGTTAAATACTGTAATACACACTGTGGTAGGCGCTATTCAATATGTAATGTAGTAATTTATGGCGTGCACGTTGCGACCAACTATCATTCTCACAAATCTACATCAACAGTAATATGTACTAGGAGTACATGCCAACAACTAGTTTTAATTCACTGCTACACTTTTGGCTGCACAAATAGTCCCCCTCAAGGGTCTCTGTGTTTCTCTGTCTGAAGTACCAAATATTCAATATCATTTTATATATATATATATATATATATATCACGTTAGCTAGCACGGGAATAGCAGTAATCATTTACCACTCAATATCATAGGAATACGAGCATGGTTTAGTTCGAATTTGTAGAGATGTGGTCGAATGCAGTCTCTATTGAAGAAATGGTTGACCAAACATTGTAAAAATAGATAACGTGGAACTTTAGTTAAGGTTCTAATTTCCTTAATTAAAAGAGCTTAATTCTTGTTATATTTTTTTTCATATTCAAAATAAAAAATTGAGAGTTTGAAAAAAAAATTCTAAAATCTCTTTAAAATTTGAAAGCTAAATTATTATTCTTGTATCATTTCAAAGTCCAAAATAATTGTAAAGTAGGCTCCCAAAAAAATATATTTTAGCACCGGAGAGTTGGGAGAAGTGAGAAGTTGAAAGAGAAGAGAAGGGAGTGTTAGAGGTAACCATGTAATTTCATATATTTATATATAAATAATAATAATAATAAAGGGCGGATAATAATGACAAATTTGTCGGTCGCTATTTTTTTCTTTCCACAAATTGGAGCTTAAAATATGACATGCTGCATAACTACCCAACTATTTTTCGAGCCATAAATTGAGCTTAATAAAGTATTAGAAAATGGTAATATAAACAATTCAAGGTCGATCATAAGACTATTCAAAATAATAAATTTTATATTTAATGTCAATAATACAAAAGATCTGCCATAGAGCAAAATCTTAGCCATTCATAAATAATAATAAGAAATAAAAAAAATAAAACAATGTATTTATGTAACTAAAATTTAAAATGAAGATTAATAATAAAGAGAAATAGAAAAGATAATTAGATAAGTTTGATGGACTACCGAATAATACAAGCAATTTACTTGTTATATATATATATATATATATATATATATATATATTTAAAAAAAAAATAGAACATAAAATTAATTTAATAGGAATTTTTTTTTTTTTAATAATACTAATAAATGGACCAACACAACTAAATAACCGGTAAGCTTTTACTAGCATAAATAAATGAATAAATAAATAAATAAAGAGTCTAGATTACAAGTTTTAGTAAGTGAGTTGAAAGGGAGTAAAAGCTTTGGGCTAGTCATGGCGGATGGGCCCACTCAGAAACGTAACACTCTTTCTTCGTTTGGACTTTTGTGTTAGTTTGCTCGCTCTCGGGCCCACTATTAACTTTACTGTACCCCTTAACTTTTTTGTATTTCAACTTTAAAGAGCAACGAAATTTCGCGGTCCAAGTGGACCCTGCTGTCCTATCAAACCAAGAAACATTATGGCGAATAGAACGGTCCCACGTGTCCACAAACGAAAATACTTGCCAATAGCAGCAATCTCACCCATATCGCTACGCAACTGCTGCTACTACTTTCCTTTATATTGCTATCATACTTCGACACATCGTTTTCGGTTGACACGTGTCAATGTTATTATCCATTCCCGGTTCTGATTAAGATGTTGCCAAAGTAATCAGATCCATCATTTTCAGTAAATGACTCTTTGCCCTTTCAATTCAACTTCCCAAACTGTTAATCCTCTCTTCTATGTCTCTAGCTTTTGGATGCTTTAATGCACGTTTCACGGTTAAGAGTAACCCTGGGACCACTTATGACGTGGTTATGTTACAAATTTAAAACTTTTTAAGGGTTGTGTATAAATATGAGAATACTGTGTAACGCAATCACTTACGTATAGTTTATGTACTTGAAATTAAACGACGAAATTATGCTATAAATACATAAATGGCTACATTCAATAGATAAGGTGAGTCTTCGTGAATTGATTCGATCTTTATCCAATCAAGATTATTAAAATTACACCCCATACGTGAATAAATAATTGCAAAACAGGTAATTAAATTTTGAAGAATTGATAGGCAACAATAACAATTTGAGATCACTTGGTCAATTTTGGTAAAGACAAACCAATTTTGAAGGCTCGCAGTAAAGAAGAAGTACGGCAAATGGCATCAAAAGGTTAGATTTATTGGGAAAGTAAAATTGATTTGAGCTCATTTTGTGTGGGAAAAGGGCTAAATTCAAATAACAGAGCCATGATTTCGCATGTTTATCTTGTAAACATGCATGTGTCGTCATGAATAGAGAGTTGTTAAGGATTGTAAATATAACTTATTTTTAAATTTTTGTTTTGATTTATAAACGATATTATTTTTTATCAATCTCCGTCTTAATATTAATTTTGAACTTAAGTTCCAGTATGATCTTGAATTTAAGTTTGTTGTTGACTAAAACAAATTATCGGAGCCAAGTTAAATGAGTGTTGAGTCAAAGTATATAACTGAAAGCTTTGATTCGACTCGATCAAGTCAATATATACACAGCATTGTATTTGTCCACCCTCATAAAAATAAAAATAAAAAAATAACTTTCATCTAAATTGCCTTAGTTGAAGCTGACACTAATCAGGGGTAAAATAGTCTTAGTTTAATAAGAAATGAAAAAAGTAAAATAATAAGTTTGTTCTTAATTCTAATAAATAAATAATCTAGGAAGTAATTTTTAATTTAAGAAAATTATTAGCAAAATGACAATAGTTTGCCTTACATATATATTATCTAACCAGGGCGGCTAGATTTAATTTGGGGCCTTAGCAAAATGGACTTTTCAACAATATAAATAAAAATAGTGACAACTCATAAACAAAATATACAAATGTAAATATACATAAACTTATAATAACAAAAGTTAATAAAACTAAAAAATAATTAAAGAAAAAAATCATAAAAACTGATTTAGAAAATTCAAATTCAATACTCCTACAAAATTTTCAATAAAATAAAAGTGAAGTATACAATGAGTATGGAGTTGAGAAGAAAGACTATTGTAATGTAAACTTGTAATGAGGGGGGAGGAGAACACTCGTTGAAAAAAAAAAAGAAGATAAAAAATAATATATATATATATGGAAAGTTTTTGCCACTTTTCCAAACAACAACGTTAAATACGTATTTAATATTTTAACTTACCAAAAAAAAAAACTTAGTGCTACCATAAAAAAAAAAAACGTGAATGAGAGAGAAAGAAAGAGGGAAAAATAATTTATTTAATGATACAAATTTTTAGGCTCAATATTAAATTTTTATATTGGTTAGGAGGATGTATTGAAAAACATGAATAAGGACTAGAAAAAAAAAAAAGTCATATAAGATGTAAATCTTTGGAGGCCTAATATTAAATTTATATATAAGTTAGAGTTCAACGAAACGATTTGAAGCCTAATATAAAATCTCAAAGAAGTTATTTTAGGATATGATATTTGAGAATTAATATAAAATTGAAATGAAGGAGGAGAAAGAAGGGAGAAAAAATTAATTAAGTTATTTAAGGATATATATCAGGCCTAATATAAAAAAAAATTGTATTTATTAGAGTTTAATAATATTAGGAAATAATTATAATATAACTTAATATAAGGGAATTTTAAAATTTTGTGGCCTTCCTATTGATTGGAGACTTAGACAGTTGACTAACGCTTGAGGCGGGCTGTATTTAACAAACCAATCTTCTCTACTTGGAGTGTTGCCATATCTAACTATCCACTCTTAAAAAGTAAGTGTTGGACTGTGACCTAAAGATGTTATCCTAAGAGAAAGCTGAATTGGAAAGAAATTATTGTGAAATGAAAAGACAGAGACAGATAACATATGGAGTATGCACTAATATAATAGTATTTCTC